TAAAGAAGTAGGTATTTTATTAATGTGAATGCGAAAACATACTGTAATAACAATTTGTGAATAAAATCAATATGTTCAATTATGGTCCACCTAAGTCCTGGAACCAGGTCAGCACCACCCCTCCGCAGGATCCTGGAGTGGGTACTGAGTAAGCAATGGAAACTGAGAACAATTTTAAAATAACATTAAGCATCATAGGTAATGTTGCTTAATATTGGATTTTTGAAATGAAATTGAAAATCGCAGGACTGTTTTGTAGATCTAATGGGTTTTTTAAATTTTTTGTAAACATAGTTCAAGGACAAAATCTTCTAATTATACACATGTTTACAATACTGATATCCCTTTGATAACATTACACTGACTAGTTAATTAATATGCTGGGGACATCTTACGCTCGTTGCCAATTAAGCATAACACGAGTAATAATAAACCGAGAACTTCGCTTAGTTTTCACAATTGCGAAAATGCAGTGATCGGGAAAATCGAAGATTCTCACTGGAACTTCAGCATAACAGTTCTATTTTCGCCTTTACGTAAGACCTGTCGGGCTCGTTGGTATAATGGTAGCATTGCTAAATTGCTAATAATCAACGGGTTTTTGGTTCATTCCCCCCCCCCATTTTTCTAATCAATTTATAATTTTTCTGAATCATGTTGGACTTCATCTGGAAATCTGGATATTAAATTCCATCGTCTGGGTCACGAACCGCCGTCCACAGTTGAGCAGTGAAGTTTAATCGCGTGTCGGTATCAGTCGGTGGATATCCGAATTGTCAAAGCCAAAACAGGACAGCACAGCATTCTTAGATATTAGGTGACTGGAGCATTTTACCATCTGGTGAGCATGTGCTGTTTTATGTCACTACTAAGGTCAACTGCTTCGTTGGTCTCGACATTTGTGCGACGACCCTACATCACAAGGTCCCAGTGTCGCATTCCGACTCTGCCAAAAGTAACTTTAGTTTCGTTTTTGGAATCTATCCAACAAAATATTTAGTACTAGTAGTTTTTCTTTCGGTCCCGGATACATTTGAGACAATTATAATGGCTTTAGTCGCTTACCCACACTGGAGAAGGGGTACCACCGGGTGGTATAAGCACTCAAAAGTCTCTTCCATGTGATAGACAACCTATCACCTAATGTATGGATATATAGAGTTTGAAAGGTAACGTAAAAGTTCTTTATCTACTGTAAAGTATATACCTACGCCAGATTTCTTTCTTAATTGTTCATTTAGCTACACCCTGAACTAAATGTTATATTGCATGTCCAGTTTCATCAAGACCTCTGGGCCGTGGGCGTGCCAAACTCGTCAACACTTAAGTCGGAAAATTGCGCAGTACTGACAATCTTAAATGTATGATTTAATTCGAATTTTGCAGTATTCAATGTAGCTATACATATATAATTCGACTGTTTCAGACTTCATTTCTATATATGGGTAATTTATTACGTAACACGGTTGGGGGTCAGCAATGTCTTATGTATTTTTACAAGGCGAGGGGTTTAGATAGTTCAAATCAAGATGTAAATTAACAATGTATAAATGATTATTAATGAGTGGGTATTGAGCCCCTGGACTGAAGATTATCGGATTATATGTATGATCTTAAGGAAAATAAAAGTTATTACAACAGTCGGGGGTCACACTGCTCTTCTTTTTTCTTATGGGGGGGGGGGGTTGGAGTCTGATGAATGAAATGAATGATCCTAGGTCTACGAGTAAAACGTTTTTTTTTTTAATTTGCGCTTACAGTAGTCACAAATTTGTGGTGTGAGTTGTGATTTAGAATTCACTTACTAGGCTAGAACTTTGCAAAGATGGGCATAATTTAATTTGTAAGTTGCTTGAGCTCCTTAAGCTCTCTCGAGCCAGACTGATTAAACAAACTGCGAATGTAATTCACTAGCACAGATACTTAATTTGCCGCTTACCTGAGTTTATTTTGATTTAGATGTTATTGTAGCATCACTCCCACGGGCAAGCAGGGCTTAATTTATTTTATACGTAGATTCAGAAATATGATGTCTGTGTTTCCAAAATAGACGTTAACACCTGTGGGAGTTAAAAAGGAATCCTTACGAAAATACTAAGTTTAGCCAACGCAAGTAAAAATGAAATCGTAAATCGCTATTTTGATACAAGTACTGAGAGAGTGTTGTATGACCGCTTCGCTTATGGCTTATAAAATAAATACATAGCTTATGACAGAACATGTACCGTCGTCTGTTATAAAACCATCACTTGAAAGTGTATACACCGGCCGTGTAACATCTAAGCACGATAGGCTGTCAACATATTAAGACACTCAGAAATCCAGAGACTGAAACTGACATGATATTAAACTGTAGACGTTGGTTTAACTCAGATGATTTTTTTTATAAATTAAAAATAAAATTACGACACGGCCAGGTTTTGAACCGGCATTCACAGCGTTCCGTGCTTTCACCAAATTGAGCTGCCGCGTCGTATTTCCTTTTTAATTTATAATGGATTTCTAATTTATATATTGCTACCATGTGCAATAACATGTGAAAAATAATTATAAAATTAAAATCTGAGTCATTTTTTCTTTTTTGTAGAACTCCTTAAAAGCCTTACAAGGCTAATGTAAATAAGAGCCACGTTATAAAAATGAATTTATACAGTTTTGAATAATTCATATGGCTGATATAGTGAACAGGATTTATCATTTTGATCTGTGACATGAAAAATTACAACTTCCGACGAAAGTTCTTGTACACGTGTAAACTTTTATTTACGTGCGCATTTTATTTAAGTTCTACACTTTTTATTACTGATAAGCACATGGTTCTGTAGATTTTAGGTCTCATATCTGAGCTATATGCGAAGGTTGTTTTATGTAAAGAATATCTCAGTGTTTGGTTGCTTTGAAAATATCTAGTTTCAAATCATGAGGTAAATAGTGAAAACATGAATGTAAGGATTTTGGGAGTACCAAACATCTCTAATAAAATATAGATAATAAAACATAAAATAATAAAATAAAGATAAAATTTTAAATCCGAAAATAAAATTTAAATAAAATCCCGATTCATTTTGGGATATAGGACAGACGCGATTTCTTCATCCATTGGTCCATTTTAGGTAAAGACAAGTTAAATAATATCAGTAGTACGCGAGTAGTACAGATAAAAAAAAAACACTTTAAACGGTTTAAAACGCGAAATATATTCGTGTATTTTAACTATGTCCCGACGTTAAGTGTACGTACAAATTTACTGTATTTTTATAATAATATTATTTTACAGCATATCTAAATCTATGTCAGCGTCGTGCTCACTTCAATGTTTATATTAAAAGCAAATTTACAAGGTTAGCTTAGTGACCGTCCAATTTTCCACTTTTCTTGTAAATTATCTTAAAACAACTATCATAGGAAATACATCAGTTGCACTACAGCACTCATTGGGTTTGGTTATTTCGCCACTTTAGCTGTTAACTCTACAGCATAACGTTAGCAAATACATTCACGTATACTTTCCAAACTGTTATACGCAACAGTCTCTGGTACCCGAAACTCGGGAGTATACGCTAAACTGTTCTACACTACAGATGCTTTGTAGAAGCCGTGGTCACGGGGTGGAATTGAAGACGTCAATGTTAAACTCAATGTCGTATCATCAGTTTCGTAGTATTCGGGAAAAGTGGTTGTTGCTTTGACGTGGCAATCCTTAGGATTGCAAAACGGGGGGGATAGTTTCTGCCGGGGTAGAGGGGGGGGAAGCCAGAATCTCTCGTGCTATGCTAGAAGCGTTACAGGCAAAGTAAGAAACTCTTTATATTGGATTATAGTAGGACATTCTGTGATTTAGTCCTAGCCAGTAATTTCAACGGCGTAGGTAGTTCGCTAATTTCCCGGGGGATAAAGATTTACCCAGGTGCAATGTACAGCGCTCTGTACGTCGATTGTGTTGTTGTGTGTGTGTTGTGTGACATTTCCGTGTATTTGTTAAAGCGTTAGTCAAAGTTTCGCTTTGAGTCCTTTGATGTCTGCCCTTTGATGCGACTACTCGTGTACTACTGAATAGCTAAACCATATCTTATCTTATGTAGAAGGGGTCAGTTCAATAAAGTTTTTAATTTAATTGAAATTAATTAGAAATTAATTGAATTAAACTACTTTATTGTGTTGTATTTCGTTAGGCGATAGGAAAAATATTTCTCTCTCTTCTTTATCCTACAATAATGAATCAAATAAGTACTAATATTTTTGAAAACATTAATATTTTTTTCTCATGTTATTGCACATGAAGGCACTATATAATTTAAAAATCGAAAATAAATTTAAAAAATTTTCGTCCTGCCCGAGTCGAAAATACTTGTCGACTTTAAATTACTAATATTTTGTTGCACAAAAATAGAATCTATATACTGTCTATAGTTTACGCGAGTAGTACACATATTAATAAAACACTTTAACGGTTTAAAACGCAATATACAACTATTTGTTACATGTGTATTTTCAAACGTATAATTGGAGTAACAATGTATTAAAAGTAATAATATAATTGATTTAAAGGAACACTTTAAAAGATTTAAAACAAGAAATTTTATTTTATTAATGAACCGGCCCGGCTTTTACAATGCTTTGCACGTATAGATTAAAAATAAGTTAACAACTATATTTCGCGTATTAAACCGTTAAAAGTGTTTTGATATTTAATGTATAGTACTCGCGTAAACTACAGATAATAATTAATCTTAAAGATGTTCTGTATGAGAAAGAATACAAAAAGGAAAATCCATAAGTAAGATGGACGCAGTAATATGTAAAAATAACGTTCGAATAAATCGCTAAGAATTTCATATCCTGAACGATATACAGGCACAAACAAAATCTGTTATAACAAGATCCTAACTGAATTTTCCCTTTTGCAGAGCACAGGCGTCCCTCATTTTCCGAAAGTGAGACGAGCTCAAACACATTCCCCGCGCCAAAGGAAGCTATGAATACTTATTGACTCAAGAAAAATGGCTTATGAGGAAAATGGCACATCAAACATAACACAGGCGTTGACGAATTTGTTTGAGGAAATGCTTTTCGCAACGGAAACTCCTGGGGGCAATAAGAGTTTAAACATGTCCCAGTTTTTATCAGCCATAAAAGATCGCTCGAGTCACAACCACGAGTCTATAGACTTCGGTACCCTGGTGAAGTTGGTTGACGGATGGAGAACGAAGTTGAACCTCACGAAGACCATAGAACCAGCGTGCAATTATTGCGATGGAAGCTTCCGAGATTTAATATTAGCTTACAACAGTATTCACGGATATATAAGCCTCATTGTAAGTAAATTTTATTTACTCAGCTCACGTTTAGTTAGCCTGCTGTCTCCTATACATGATACCTATAGCTATACTAAAAGTCAGTAATGTTTTAGGGCTGTATGAGCGCTGCCTGACAGACAATAGGGTTTTGCTGAAAATCAGCGTTATAGCCTAACTGTGCTACAACTTATGCTGACGAAAGACATTTTTGGCATCACTTTTCTTGAAATTAACTGTAATCTTTGCATACATTATTCATTGTAAGTACGTTTTTTTCTTGCTAACATTGTACTAAATGAATGCCAAATGAAGACATTTTTTACCTAATTCGACGTGTCGACCACATTTGAATGGATTTTTATAGGCGGTTAGTTATTTAAATAGGTCTATAGGATTCCTAGTAAATCATTAGTCGATGCGCCCGCGCCGACAAATATGTTCAAAGATAACGAAAGTTGTGATTAGATAATTTTCAATGATGACGTGTAGGACACGATAGCTCATTTGGTTAAATAGCACGGAACGCTGTGAATTTGCTCAAGTCCTGCCGGCGTCGTAAAATGTTTCAATCCAAAATCTATTTTTAGGTTAGCAAGTGATCCGTAGCATGAATAACCGCTGCATATTTTAATTAACATATATTTGAATAAAAAAAATAGTTGGTTCTTGCAAATGTTTAATCGGTCGATAGTTAATGACGATATGTAATGTGCGCAATAAAATAAAGGACTGTTTTTGTATAGCCTATGCAATGATATCTTTCGCGTTTATAGAAGACAACGGCTTTACACGTAATGTATTCTTCTTTTGTTTTGTGGTACGTCAAACTTTACTCTTAATTTCGAGGATGAGATTTCTGTTCCAATTTTAGATTTCCGATTAAGCTAGGCGTCGAATATATTACGTGTACAATTTATAAGGATAATAACTCCGACATAAACAGATTCTTCATCTTATGTGGAAGCAAAACTGCTGTATTTTGATTTTATTCATCTTTACTAATATATAGAGATGAAGAGTTTGGTTTGAACGCGCCACTCTGGAATAAAAAACTTCTTTTTATATTGATAAGAGCAATTATCGAGAAAGGCTAGAGGCTATAGTTACAACATCGTGCTGTGACTATTAAAATAAATGTGGCAAAAACGGGAACACTTTTCATCTTAGTCGTATTCCGTTACGTACGCTGCGACAACGGTTTATGATACCCAATATGTGAAATAGAATCATAAAAATGTTCGCGATATTATATGTCTATCTTTTTACTTGTTAACTTACTAACTTGCTAGAACAACGAGACGCAACCGACATAGTGAACAATAGCTTAAATCTATAAAGAGAAGAGGTTGGCAAAAACATACTTTGATGTCTAAAATAACTATTCTACGCAGAAGAAGTCGCTGGCACAGCTAGTAATCTACATATAAACTAAAAATATATATTATAAAACGTAATGAGTATGTTTAATTTCTTAAATATAATATAAATATGAAACCCATATGGAAAGGAGATAGACTGTTCTCCTGTTTAACCAAATTTGAATCAAAAGAGAAAGTCTATTACAGAAAAGTGTTATGGGCTTTTCGCGTTTATGTTTTTAAATTTCTGGTGTTGTCGAGGATGCTGTAATTCATTCACTAGATTCAATTACAACGTAAGAAAGTGTCCTTGTTTTTGCATTCTGACAAATCTTCCACGACGCTTCGAACTGAATTACGCAACATTATACGTAATTACATAGACCAATGATCTCTCGTGGATCGAAAATGTTCACTCAAATTAACCGCGTCAATATTATAATGGTCTCCATGATCACAATTTCTTAATGATCGAAGGCTGTTAACATAAGCCTGTTTGTACTCTCATAACGAGTTTGGTATAGATATTAAATGTCATCAATTAAGCTTGTTAATTCCCTTCGATTGTTTACGGATGAAACTGACCCTAATAGAAGGCAAATTGTTTTTCGGTTCGATTGGAATTTATAATTCAGTAGTAAGAGGTTTGATATGAACTTATTACTTGTCTGGCTTGCTTACGGTCGGTGCCATTATTGTCGTTACATATGAAATAATTTATAGTCATTATACTTATATTATAAAGCCTGCAAAAATGCAAGCAAACCGGAAGATTTGAAGGGGACACGGTGAGAGTTGGATAACCCAGAAAATCTCTGCAAGGAGGAAATGGGTGAAATGGTCAGCTGATGATGTGGACTGATCACCCGGCCTTCTTTGGGTGTTCCCGATATATATATATATTATAAAGCGTAACTCTCCAATCATGATGCGACCAATATTAATCTTTGAGTGCCTCTGTTGCGTGCGCTGAGAAAACGATCCAATGTTACTAAAAAAACGTTAGTTGAAGAATGAATCCTCTGTAAATGATCGGTATGACGGCATATGTCAATCTTTTAAGATTGACCCGCGAACTATAACAATATTCAGGTAATGTTGCAGTCATTTAAATAACCTGCATACATATTTCTGCGTCTGATCAATTCATTGTGTTCTTAATAAATGTGATCTTTCAAGAACACTAATTATTTTTCTCTAAAACTCCTATGTCAAACCGAACCACAGTTGAAAGGTATACCTTCTCTACTTATGTAATTGTATTAAAAAACAACATAGACACACAGGCATTTATGTTATGTTGTTTATGTGTCACAATATTTTAAAATATATAATATTATTTTAAACCAAAACGGTTTATTAAAAATATAATTTGGATTAATATTTAAAAAACACGATCGTAAACCAACATCGACAGCGATCGGTGCTGCTGCTTTAAATAGTTGAGCTACCGTGATCATGTGCGATGGTACATAGTAGCCTAATTGAAATAGGACGTGGTAACTTTTAAATAAAACACTTTAACGGTTTAAAACGCGATATATTAGTTAAACTTATTTATCTCCCCGTGACCACGGCTGCTGCAAAGCATCCGAAACGTCGGGCCGAAGTTAAAAATCATTTTCAAATAAGTTTGACATAATGCGTGATGCATAATGTCAATATGGCGGGTTTGTAATGTGAATGGAGTGATGTAGAGAATTTATAAATAAGTAATTAACCTTTTTTATTAAAAAGAACAGGGATTGCCAAAATAACTTAATTTGTTGTTTCTTTCGGGTAATTCTTTTTATATTCAAATTGGTGTAGTAATTTGTGTAAGTTTAGATTGTTAAGTAACAAGAACATTAAATCTTTCAGATAAAAGAAACAACACGTTTTATTTCGCATAAAAAAATATAATCGATATTTTTATATCAATGATATATTTACCAAACTTTTTAGTTATTGTAAGCAATGTTTTGGGTTTTGTCACTTCTGCGTACTTCGGGCGCTGCGATGCAAAGTTACTTTTGTATACAAAATTGGGAATAGGCTGCTAGTAAAGTTATAATAATGTGACCCCAATGTATTGTTGTATTAAACTTCAAAGTGCCTATTACAAAAGATGACGTAATTTATCAACTTAAAGTACTTTTGTACAATCTGTTTGTTAGGCGAGGCTACGATGTTTGATTTTAGTTTGTTTTCATATTAGTTACAGAATACAATGCAAGAACTAGTTTATTTAACATATTTAAATCCTAGCGGGGTTTGGGACATGTGGGAGACCATTTTTGAGTCCGCTACACTAATCATCTACTGTCTGTAGTTTAAGCGAGTAGTACACATTTAAATAAAACGCTTTAACGGTTTAAAACGCGATATATATATATATATTGCTGAAAAGCATACGAAACGTCGGGTCGGTTCAAAATAATTTTCTAATAAATTAAACTAATATATATCGCGTTTTAAATCGTTAAAGTGTTTTAATTAAAACTAATCATCTAATTTATTTACATCCTTAAATACTATGCGGTGTGTAAAGGAAACTATTATTTATATTTACCAGGAAATTGAACCTAGGAGCTCACGCAACATAAGAAGTACGTAACGTGACACGATAGCATTCCAAATTCGATGCCAACATATAAATAAAATTCTGTGACTTTATAATGTGCCGTCAATAAGCAATATTGCGGACTATTAAAGTTTAAAAGAACTATTGTTTCAAATAAATCAATTTTTATAGTTGAAAAAGCAAATTATTTTTTAGCTACGATGTGATTTGCGCTTAAATATTTACCATTATCAATTTAATCATTATATCTGCGATATATAATTGTCATATGGTATTTAAGCTTTGTTACTTTAATGTATATTAAAAAATCGATTATAAAATGTAAACATTAATGCCGTTATATGTGCTTTGTTCGTGTTACATACTTCAAGTCCTTCGATGACCTTTCTTTTTAGTTTCCGAGGTATTGTGTGAGCGGTCAAGGGATAAAGCTAATACTAATTAAGAAAGGCCCTGTGTCCCACTATTTATTGCTCATTCCCCTCCATTTGTTTCCTTTATTACCTCTTCAAATTGCGGTATAGCTTGAAAAGAAATTCGAACAATAGTTTAGACATAAAAACCCAAACTCCATGGATGAAAGAATTGACTTATTTATTTATACAAGGCTTACAAACTACATACATAATTAAACTTACAAGATCTATTTCAATAATTATTATTACTACTTATGTATCTAAAGGTATGCACAACTTTAACTAAATACATTAAATAGAGATAGAAAAAAGACATTTTGAGTTATTATTAAAACTACAAACAGAAAGGTAGGTTAGTGATTCAACAAAAAAAAAAATCTTTATGAATAGTAAAATATTATAAATAATATAACATTCATCTATAATTATTATATTAATAATCCTTGGTCCGATATTACTTTGTACGTTTAACTAATAATAAATAAAAATCCAAGGTGTATATGCGCCTTACCGACTGTCACTTGTTTTTATAAGATCTAGTTAAATTTAAAATAACTTATATTATTCTACATTCACTTCTGACGGGCTCCTTGGTCTTATAATAACAATTCGATCGTCACCGGGTCGAACTACGTTTCTAATCCAATTATAAGTTTTGTGATAAATGTTAGATTTCCTTTAGACATCTGTATATTAAATAAGTGGTAGGAATATCAAAATTTCGTCCAAGTCACGAATCACCGTTCACAGATAAAAAAGCCTAATAATTTTATGACGTTTCTAAATTAGTCTGTGGAGTTACGAATATCTAATGCTAAAGTAAGTCAACAGCACTCTCTGTCATCTGTCAAAGAGTTTCCAGATGCCAAAATCTCGTTTCCTCCAGGGGTGTGGGACGAATACATTTCGATGTCCAATTTACTGATCGGTTTACAGGTAAATAAATTAGTCCTATTGAGGTAAATAAATGCCTCGTCCAACCGACACATGACAACGACAGCATGAAATCTCATGCATAAGTATTTTCAGCTAGCATTAATCGGATGTAGAAAAGATAACGATAAAAGGCTCGTACGAGAATAAAATGGTATTAAGTGCTATCCACACGGTTGCGTCCGGGACGTGGCTTCCTGGCTTTAGGGGCTTAGAATCTCATTAGGGGTACATCTGAAAGGGATTTGTTAGGGAAGGTGACAATATTATCTCCTGGTGTTACAAACATTTCGTGTAAATTATGTTAGCGTGTATATTACCAATAAATTTATAAGGTATGAATTGCTATGGGGGACGTAAAAACCAATAGTTTTGCATATATCTGGAACTATTTTAATGTTTCTTTAAAACAATCTAAACTCACACATTTTACAATAATATTATATGAAAGAATTTACCAGAAACGATGCAATATTGTTAATTACTATGATAGGTTAAACTAACTGATTGATTCAATCACACAATTTTAGGTTTTACGCGTCTAACCGACATCTTTTTTTTCCATTTTGACGTTGCATCAGGCATATGTCCATCCGCCCATTGCTCTCCATTCTAGTATATAAGTTTAATGTGAAATATTTTATTTTTTGTGCAATAAAGAATATGTAATATAATAATAATAATATGTCAAATCTTGTGATTTCCCGGGAAATTTAAATTTCCAAGTACAAAAGTAGAATACACGTGTTTAACATAAGTTAATTAAAAAAATAAATAATATGGATCACATGTATATTTGATGTTTGTAAACTATATTTGAAGATCAATCGATCTTTAGATAAAATACCTGACTTATTCTTAATGACTAGTTTCCACGTGAGTTGTAAATTTATAAAAATCAAAAATTCCATATCATCTTTTTTTCGTACAATGGATATTGTATTTAGTTAATATATTACCAAAATAAATATATGTTTAAATTATCAAAAGCGCCATCTGCTTTTAGAATATGTAACTAAATCTATACCATCTTAATAAACATCATTTAGACTTAGAAGACTGATTTAGATTTGTATCAAATTGGTCTGGTGTTATACTATGTTTAGCTTTATTGCTTCAAGACCTAAGTGTCAATTTTATGTTCTCTTGTAATTTGTAACAAAGCTATAACAATTTAGTGCTTTGAAACGAACTGCGAAGCGAATTAACGACTGTTTAACTTTACTTGTCTCTAGAGAGGGCTCAAAACTTATAAAGTGAATTAAAAATTCCATTGTATATTGACCGCCATTTGTATGTAGGTTAAACATAGCAAGAGTCTCCCGTGACCACGGCTGCTGCAAAGCATCCGAAACGTCGGGCCGAAGTTAAAAATCATTTTCAAATAAGTTTAACTAATATATCGCGTTTTAAACCGTTAAAGTGTTTTATTTAAATGTTACTACTCGCGTAAACTAAGAAGTATTTAAACATAGCTTTTAAGTCCGAAACACAAGTTAAAAACCGTTGCGGCCGGAAATGGCACAGGAGTGTCAACTGCTTGCCTGTAAATAAAATTATTTAGTGCAACAGAATGTGGAAAAACGAGATTTCACACTTGGAATAAAAAGTGACACGGACGGGAGTTGAACCCACGACATCTCGGCTCTGTTGCTACTTTATAGTCGGATTACTGACGAGCTCGTTGGTCTAATGGTATCAATATATTGCTAACAATCATCGGGTCATGAGATCATTTTTTATAATCGATTTGTAATTGTTCTGAAACATGTTGGACTTCGTCTGGAAATTTGGATATAAAATGGGTATAAATATCGAAATTCCTTCCGGGTCAACCACCATCCAAACACGAAAAAGCGCGCTATTTATCGCGCTTCGATTTCAGTCTGTGTATTTCCGAATATCCAAAGCCAATATAGGTCGACAGTGTACATTCTGTATCGCTGGGATATTTTACCTCACACTATGAACCCCGTGTTTGTCTGTGCTCCGGTATCATAAAGAGACACGATACTATCATTCTAAAGCCATCATTAATATACGCAGGTATGCTTCTTCGGTTCGTTAGCAAATGCGCTGAATGTAGCCGTTCTGACGAGACGTGACCTCGCCGCGGCTCCAATCAACCGCCTGCTCAAGTGGCTGGCCGTAGCTGACGTGTTTGTCATGATGGAGTATGTTCCATTCGCAGTCTATAGATATCTGGTGAGTCTACATTTGTTCAAATTCAAATTTGTTCATTTACTAGCTGTGTCAGCGCTATAGTTATTTTGGTGTCAAAATTTGTTTTTGCGAACATTCTATTCTTTTTATTTAATTAAGCTGTTAGTTCCGTCGTTCATGGAAGTTAATTTTAAAAAACAGACGTATAGTGTCGCGGGAATTTACTTATATCATTTGAAGAGGAATCATTCTTTCGTATATATTGTTTTGGTTTCTTAAACCGTTTTCACAGCGCACGCAATGAAAACACTTAAAGAGGTTTCCCCCGTTTCTTTTACATTTCTCACTGTATCTTCGCTTCTATTTTTCGCATGGTAATTGTGCAAAGCCCAAAACCTTTTTTTTAAAACCACATTTTTTTAAAATTCGAACCAGTATTTTCTGAGATTAGCGCATTCAAACAAACAAACAAAATCTTCAGCTTTATTATTAGTAGTAGTAAGACAGTAAGAATTAGCGGGAAGTGTAGAGACACAGAAAATAATAAGTTTATTTTAAAAAACCGCGATGATGATATATTTTTATATTTTAAGATTAATTTGCAAGACCGACGTCGCTGATACAGCCAGTACCTTATAAATTTAGTAAACTAATCTAATTTCTCAACAAAACAAAGAATGATTTAAGCACTTAGTTCAGTTGAAATTTGGAGAATTATGTTGTCTAGACGTATCTTTTAGGATTTGTAAAATATTGGCAATAAATCAATGTGCTTCTCATTGATACTTCTTGAGTAGTTTTACATTTGTAGAGTGAATTCTCTTATCGACATTGACTACTATTATTAAATTTATTACTTCCATTTTTTATTGATCATCTTTCTTGTCGAGGTGCCTCGAAGAGATTGTTTATTGCTTTAAGGTCACCATTTGCACTTCTTTGCTTTTTAACATATTGCTTATGTCTATAGTTTACGCGAGTAGTACACATTTAAATAAAACACTTTAACGGTTTAAAACGCGATATATTCGTTAAACTTATTTGGAAATGATTTTTAATATTTTTAATATATCGCGTTTTAAACCGTTAAAGTGTTTTATTTAAATATGTTGCTTATACTTAAGGTATGCTTAAGTATTAAATAAACAAATACTACTTCCTATTTTTTGCGTTACGTTTTTAAGTTATTCGGTTAATGTAAATTACTAAATAAAGACTTCTTTTAAACTAGAAAAGTAAATTACCAAAATGTTTGCGTTTTAGTTTGCTACTATGAATATATGCCCATAGAAAGTTATGAACAATAGCTTAAAAATCGATTACATATTTTTTAAATTTATAATCGATTTTTAATATATATGGTGTCACCATGTTCAAAGAATTAAAGTTTTAAAACTATAGCTTGGCTCGTATGCAGTGATGTATGTAAAAAAATGGCTTAATATTGTATTTTATAATTCATACACATGAACATTCTAGTAATTTTTCTGAGAATTTTGTGTTACTTTTTATCGATTACAGATAATTTTAAAATCTAAAATAAATCGAAAACATTTTTGTCTCTGGCAGGACTTGAAACGGCATCCTCATCAGCGTTCCGTGCTGTTGCTCTACCAATTTATTCAATTTACTTTCGATTTTTAAATTATATAGTGCCTACATGTACAATATTAAAGTTTTCAAACTAAATTATTTAGAAAGAGATTTTTTATAACAGTATATGTAATGAGTCCTTAATAACAATTCCTCTGCCCGTAGATCTTGCCCGGCCAACGCGAGATGCCTTACAAATGGGCAGCGTACCTGCTCTTCCATATGCATTTCGCTCAAATATTCCACACGGCGTCAATTTGTCTTACTCTCTCTCTCGCCATCTGGAGATACGTGGCTATCAAGTAAGTTAATGCATAGTTAAACCTTATTTGTTAATGGATACACAAAGTCATTTGTATAAATCATTCGCTTAAACGTCTAATAGTTTATGTGTTAGGTCCATATTAATTTGGCTATTAGTCCAATGGTATGGCTAAAAATCAAGAGTGTAGGTCGTGGGTTCGATCCCCACCAGGACCAACATGTTTCCAATCAATTTATAATGTTTCTGAAACATATTGGACTTCGTCTGGAAATCTGGAGGTAGGAGCACCAAACATTCCGTTTCGGTCATAAACCACCGTCCATAGATAAAAACGTGCAGTTTAATCGTATTCCAGTTTCAGTCTAATATCCAAAGACAAAGTATAACAGCGCATTTTGTTAAGATGTTATTTGGCTCACCTTCCATCAAGGGTACCCCTTTCTTTACTTGTCCACCTCCATCTTTAAGAAATATTAGAGCTATTTTGTAGAAACATATTATTTCTTTTAAATTAAGGATTACAAATTGTGTCAACTCAGTATACTTACGACAGCAAGATAAAACGTTGCTTTGTTATTTAATAACATTTAATAATTTCGACGAAAATCAAAAGATTTTTTAGTCCTTGAACCATTTGTCATGTGTTTTATATATTATGTCGTTATATACAATCTGTATTTTACGCGAGTAGTACGCATTTAAATAAAACACTTTAACGGTTTAAAGCGTGATATATTATATAAACCGTTAAAGTGTTTTATGCCGATATCTTAATAACTTTATACATAACAAGTGTATATAACCAGTTACAAGAATTCATTTGAAACCGTTATGAAACATAAATCATGATAAGACTTACATGAGAATGTTCTTTCGCGGAATAAAAACCCGCTGACACATCGTACAAAAGAAGCTGTATGCCTTAACTCATATATCATGAGAGATCTATTAAATTATTCACGCCTTAGCGGCATCTTGGCGAAATGCGATGAAGCAATTTAATATTCGGTTTTGACAAATCATTCTTAACTGTGTTATTTATAGATTTGATTTGTATGTACATATTATTATCATTATTTGCAATTCAATTACAAGGTGGGATATAAGGCAAACATATTTATGTGTGATTTATTTCTAAATAGCAGTATCAGCGACTTCGTCTGCTTAGAATAGTTATTGTAAACTTCCTTCTAATCTTTATAATTTATAAAAACATCTAAAATGGAATTCTTTCTTTCATACAAATCTTTTGGGTATCTTGAACCGTTTTTGCAGCGTACGCATCCGAAACCCACAGAGATGAATAAGTTATCCCGTTTCTTCGCTCCAATTGTGTGGGGTGGTAGAAATATCGAAATTCCGTTCAGGTCACCACCGCCCATAGGAAAGCTGTGAAGTTAAATGGCGTTTCGATTTGTGGATTTCCGAATAGCCAAAGGGGTATTACGCCTTCCATCAACACCCTGCTTGTCTGCCCTCTATCAGCCTTTTCTATTTAACTATTACGAACTTAGCGAATTATGTACTAATAATTACGTGTGGGTTGAAGCTAAGTCCTCTCTATAATGAGAAACCTCTTCCAAGCAGTCGGATATTAATAAGTCGAAATGATATATTTTCAAGTCGTATGTTTCTCCACAGATATTCGGACAGGAATCATCTGCTGTGTACGGAGAGACGATGTAGTACGGCCATATTGAGTAGCTTTATACTACCTCCAATTCTGTGTATACCTACATTTATGGTAAGTGTAAAGCCTGTACTCAGTTATATCACCGAATATGTACGATGAATCGATCACAGTTACGTGTTTGTCCCATGCCCCATATGTCCCAAATATTCAGTTTACCTCAAAGACATAACTTAGCAAAGGTTTTATCGAATTTTTGGCAATCACTCTTGTCGAGCACTTGTCTTTGCTATCAATCAAAGGGAATCTTTTTACCGTCTTTTCCTGCTTTTGAATATATTTCTAAGCAAAATAGTAAAACTCAATACGTGTATTATTTATATATTGTTTTTCTCATTTCAAAGTTTTTACTTTTAATGTTTGCCAACTTTCAATACAAATAAAAAACTATATTTAGATAGTAGCTCTTTAGGAACTGCAAAGCTATTAAGCTACATTTAGTATTATTTCGTAGCTTCAAAGGTATTGTAGGTTGTTTTGCGATCCTAAATTTCTTACCCAATAAGGCCGAAAATGTGTAAACGAGTCTACAAAATTTTATTACAGCATTCATTGTCGTAAAGTTAGTTGTTAGTGTCGTTAGATTCGACCTTTCTTCTCTGTATCTGAAGAAGACGTTTTAAATACGTTTTTAGAATGTGCGCGGTTTAACGGTTTATAACGCGATAATCAATAGGGGATAGTAAAAATTAATAAGGTATAAAAGATACTATCTATAGTTTACGCGAGTAGTACACGTTTAAATAAAATACTTTAACAGTTTAAAACGCGATATATTAGTTATACATATTTGAAACTGATTTTTAACTTCGGCCCGACATTTCGTAACGAATATATCGCGTTTTAAACCGTTAAAGTATTTTATTTCAATATTATTAGCTTCTATGAGATGAGCTGGTATAGAAACACCATTTTCGTTTTTTGTTATAACTATAAAAATGCTAAAATAATTCTGTATCTATCAACAGGTGTTCGACATCCACACAGCAGTAGTGCTAGAACCGAATGGACCCATGATACTATACCACGTAGATTCCGACGAAGAAGGTCAATTATACAAGATCAACTTCTGGGTTCACGCCGTCGTCATCAAACTCCTTCCATGCTGCATCTTGACTGTAATCAGTTTGTGGCTGATTAGGGAGGTCTATAGTGCGAATGAGCATCAGAAGAGAATCCGCTTAAACACCTGTGCTGACAAATCGAAACGGCAATGCAAAGGCGACAAGAGAACGAACAGAACAACTAAAATGCTAGTGGCTGTTCTCCTTCTCTTCCTCGTCACGGAATTACCGCAGGGAATTCTAGGTCTGATGAGCGGCGCGTTGGGGCGATGTTTCTTCAAACGCTGCTACGACCTGTTCGGCGAGTTGATGGATGCACTGGCTCTGCTGAACGGGGCTATTAACTTCGTGCTGTACTGTTCTATGTCGAGGCAGTTCCGCATGACCTTCCGTCAGCTGATGTGGCGAGCTCACTTGCATAGATGGCCGCCCCCGCAAGCGTCGCATTCAGATGGATTGCACACGTATGTAATGAATTTTAATGGCATCTTTATGGTTCGGAAATCGAGCTCACGGTCATTGGTATTGCTACCAATAGACTAAGGAGTCTGTTAATTATATACTGCCTGTAGTTTACGCGAGTAGTACACATTTAAATAAAACACTTTAACGGTTTAAAACGCAGCCGCAGCAGCCGAAACGTCGGGCCGTAGTTAAAATAATTTTCAAACAAGTTTAACTGAAATATATCGCGTTGTAAACCGTTAAAGTGTGAAAACTTCATTATTTTTTACATGTTTTGCACATGAAGGCACTATATATGTAATTTAAAAATCGAAAATAAATTGAGAAAATTATCGACTCGGGCAGGACATGAACCGGCATCGTCAGCGTTCCGTGCTGTTGCTCTACCAATTCAGCTACCGAGTCACCGTACCCATAAGTCCAACAATGCCTAGTTGCGGCCAAGATATAGTAATTTTCTCAAATAAAGTGCGGAAATTAAAACTACGAGTAAGTAGAACAATACAGAACTCGACGAAAAATATTTTATTACGCGCCAAAATATTCATTTTTTTACTAAACAGCTTTCTATGTGCAAACCATTTTGAAATTTAAATTAAACCTTATATACCTATTTCTTTGGTCGCCGCGTTACTGAGTGAACATCGTTCCATTTTTAAATTACACGACAAATATGATTGTAGATAGTATATAATTTATTTGGTCGCTAAACATAGCAGATGTCGATTTTCATACAAATATTGCTGCTCGAACAGTACAGCAAGTTCGATTTGTCTCGAAGAAGGTTTACAAATTATAAAGCCGTTAATTACCGTTTTGCACAATACCTCAATTCGTAGAGCGACAGCTCGGAACAGTATGGTTGTAGGTACGAGCCTCCCTTGTTATATACTATTAATAATATCTAATATATTATTTGATTTCACCGCATAAGCTTACGTACCAGTTATGAGAAACGGCGCTTCGAAAGGATAAAAGTTTTTATTACAACAGGATTCTCCGAAGTAATTTCGTAATTTTACAAGGACTTATTGCTTATACTCTCACTTGGAGTTATCTTAAATTTTAAGTGTTTACCTAAATTTGTTAAGTGTCTTAAAGTTAAATACTGTCTATAGTTTACGCGAGTAGTACACATTTAAATAAAACACTTTAACGGTTTAAAACGCGATATATTAGTTAAACTTATTTGGAAATGATTTTTAACTTCGACCCGACGTTTCCCCGCGTTAGTTAGTCTCCCCGTGACCACTAACTAACTTAACTTCGGCCCGACGTTTCGGATGCTTTGTAGCAGCCGTGGCCACGTCTGTTAAATCTCATTTTCAAATAAGTTAACAAATAAGGTAACTAATATATCGCGTTTTAAACCGTTAAAGTGTTTCATTTAAAAGACATAACATTGTTGTAAGCTTAACTATCAATTATTATTTATATGAAACATACCGTGGACCACGAGCGACATTATTAAAACGATGTTGTATTTCGTAACCTAGACATAAATCTATTAACAACTGGTAACTAAAAGCTTTGTCGCGTACATGTAACACCTATTTACGAATATAGATCCGCTTTTAACATCGCTGTACGTTTTATGTAATAATTATGAATCGCTAGATTGAACATTCTATGTCGCAAAACAAAGGGAGTTCGTGTGGGCATATATTATTTCAGACAATATCTTAAATTCAAATTAATTGTTGACTAAAAATAGTTTAGTAGATTTTTATTAAACGGACTTTCAAATAAGTGTATTTGTTAAAATTAAACACTAACTTAAAATCATTAACTAAGTTAAAAATCATTTTCAAATAAGTTTAACTAATATAACACGTTTTAAACCGTTATTGTGTTGTTTGCGTGTTGGAAGTTAGTCGAACGAAACAATTTGCGGGTTCGGTCTTCGCCGGTGTCATCGAATTTTTTAACTTTAACTAATAAATTATTATACTACCAGCGCTGCTAATAGTGACAAGCAGTTGGCAGTGCATAGCCGGAACTGGAATACAAATAATTTACTTCAGTTTTATTTATATAAGTTAAAACGTTGTTACAATACTTGATACATTTAAATAAAACACTTTTAACGGTTTAAAACACGAAATATATTAGTTAGCTTTTTCAATTTTGTTTTAACATCGGCCCGACGTTTCGTCGTTAACGTTAATATGTTTCGCGTTATAAGTGTTTTTTTTATGATACAGACAAGATAGGGCAGATGCGCACGAGGTTCAGGTTAGGCTTTGGAAGTGTTTTTTACATGTGTACTACTCGCGTAAACTACAGACAGTACGTAACGATACATAATTATATTAAATAGACCATTGACTTTGAATGTGCCAAATATAAATATGCTATTTTTATTATTTCAGGGCGAAGACTTCGGTTCCATGAGAGAAGTTCGTACAAGAGAAACACACATTCGTAATGCAACAATTTGTTTGACAGCGTAACAAGTGGTTTTATTGAACCTAATTTTACTTTTTAATACTTGTGGTATATAAATATTACAGTGGTGTCCGTTGTTTAGGGTCTTCGCCAAGTGCACGATAGGGAAGTCCGAAGAATGTTTTTTTTAGACAATTGTCTGTGAAGTAGTCCAAAACTCAGACTGTTATATCAAAGAAGGAGAGAGATAGAGCAATGTTCTTTTGACGTTCTATGGCTTTGGACATTTGACAATCCACAGATTAAAATCGAAAGTGGAGTATACAGATATTTTATCTGTGGTTCAAATGTCTATGGCATTGACATAATATAACTTTGTATGTATATTATTATAGCGTTTTTTAATTGCCTGTGTAAACTTAGAATAAACAGAATAATGCTTATTTAAATAAAAAGATTTTAACGATTTAAAACGCAGAATATATTAATAAACTTAATTACATTTTTTTAAACTACGGCCTGACTGCTACGCTAAAATACTGTCGCTAGTAGTAGTTTGACTTAAACTAGTGATACCCTCCATCTTTTAGACCCACGGTGACCACGGCTGCTGCAAAATAGTAGCGACGTGTTACCATAGTTAAAATAAATTGTTAATAAGTTACCCAATATTTCTCGCGTTTTTAACGTTTTATTAAATGTGCACTACTCGCAAAGCCACAGATAATACATGTCTACGCCATATTTTAATTAAACTTACAAAAACGTTCTTAATAGCAATAATTGCTAAGAAGCTAAACTAACTTATAAACACATTTAATAATTAAAAAAAAAAAAAAAAAAAAAAAAAAAAAAAAAAAAAAAAAAAAAAAAAAAAAAAAAATAAAAAAAAAAAAAAAAATTAATTTTTTCCCCCCCCCCCCCCCCCCCCCCCCCCCCCCCCCCCCCCCCCCCCCCCCCCCCCCCCCCCCCCAAAAAAAAAATTTTTTTTTTTTTTTTTTTTTTTTTAAACCTTTAAATTTTTTTTTTTAACTTAATTGACTAAGTTGTACGCCCTCTCACTTAGTAAATACTCTTTGATTATTTGCCTATACTTATCAAACACAAATAGTTCTGTTTGTGAAAGATACATATATGTATTTACAGTTTATCTACAATATTTATCATTATGTGAATCCCGGTTTACTGAACTTTACCAATTCTGAACTTGGCGAAGACACCAGCTATTTTATAGCTTATTTTCATAATGTACATATTAAATGTGATTAAATAAGCTGCTACGAAAGTGTAATAATATAGAGAAGTAATTTTATAATCTCAATGTCCTGTTTAATAAGCACACCATATATTGTTTTGTATTAAGTACGTGTTTTAAACAGGCCGCTTCTAAAAATATCTTTTAGGCTGTTGTCTCTTAACGTGCAACAAATTTATATGTTACTAGCTGTGCGACATAGTCCGCGTGGAATAGTTACAACCTCCTCAGCGTTATAAGTTAGAGCCGATTTTTAATTTATTTAATGGAATAATTTTCAAAACAAACATTTGAAAACTAGTAAAGTTTTTTGGCAAAATTATTAATAATTCAATAGCAACTACATTACTTACATGATATATGAAATCTTATTAATAGTTAGCTAGTTATCATTTTAAGTAAAACACTTTAACGGTTTAAAACGCGATATATTAGTTTATTTAAATGTGTACTACTCGCATAAACTATAGACAGTATTTAGCTAGTAATCCTATTAACAGCAACAGTACGCATTTTTGAGCCTTAGAGACCCTTCAAAGAAATATGCTTATTCTTAGCAAATATTCTAATTTGATAACAGACAGTGTTAGTAAACAGGAAAATTTCTTTAATTGATCAAAGCGAGCATAATTAAAAAGCTTTTATAAGAACGAGAGTGATGGCTTCAAATTAAAAATTATAATGGTTATTACGATATCACTAGGTACGTCAGCGACTTCGTCCGCGTAGAATAGTTATTTTCGGCGTCCAAATTTGTTTCATCCATATATAGTGTCGATGATTTTTAGATCATTTAAAGACGAATCATTCTTTCATACATATTATTAGGTATATTGCACCGTCGCAGCGTACGCATCGGAAACCCACAGAAGAATTCTACACTGTTTCTCACTCCTATTAGTCACAGCGCCATGTTAAATAGCTTATAACCTTCCTCGATTTTTCAATTTGAACCAGTACTTCCTTAGATTAGCGCGTTCAAACAAACAAACAAACTCTTCAGCTTTACATATTAGTATAGATTTCTGTTTGTTATTAAAAAAGGCAAAAGCGTTGCGTAGCCATAATTATTACATTGATCTGAGTAAGCTTTCAACACAAATTTTATGAATAATATAAGCTTTAGTCGGCAGTTTAGTAGTTGGCATTTTACATAAATCGTCTTTTATCTACTTAATCTATGGCAGAATGTCTGTGATAAGACCATAATCCTTATCAACAAGCTGAATGTTCAGACCTTGTCAAACAGTTTTGAAGTTACTTTGACGCGATTTAGTTGCGAAACAAAATAGATAAAACTTATATTATACATAGAACTTACAAGCAAGATTAGTTTAGTGTAAAATATGTCAATATCGAGCAATTTCTCATTTCTAAATATATTTTTAGTTTTCAAATAAAATACTTTAACAGTTTAAAACGCGATATATATTAGTTAAATTTATTTGGAAATTATTTTCATGTTAGACAGAAGACAGTGTTTAGGCTATATAAGATCACGCTGCGACTAATAATAACGAAGAGACCGTGGAAAAAAACGGGGAAATTGACCATTTTTGAGGGGATCAAATTTCGATGCTCAAAATAACTATTATATGATATAATACAATAATTTAAAAAAAAGGGTTTTCGACCTGTAAAATAGGCTTTAAATTAACATACACATCACGTTGGTTGGTCTATATAATATTACACAGAAACTAAACGCGCGACCCTACGTAACATGACTTTCTGCCGGTAATGTTAAAATCAAACTACGCTGTCAAAAATCGAATTTGATGGTAAGAACTTTTATTTAAATAAGTTGCAACAATTCTACCTCTCGATGCTTTTACATAATAACTTAATCGTATTATTGGATGTCCAAAGAATCCCCATAGGAATCCGAGGGCCACGAGTCAGACACGGTTTTGTGTCTGTTTTTATGATCGATTTTATTCACAGGCCGACAATTTAACTTGAATTCGCATATATATAATTTTTAGCACTTATTGGGGGTACTAAATAAGTTGTTTTACTATTAAGTCTCTGCCTCGGTAGATAAAAACATTTTTTTTATTGATGGATAACAACATTATTCATAATATATATGTAAATGATTATACTGATTTGTTATTATTATTATTTTTAACCCTCTTGGCTAAATGGTAAAACACAACGATTAGCATTACTACAAGTTCGAATCTTGGGAAAACAGAAGATAGATTCAGTCTGACAAGACAAAGAAGTCCAATTTCCTACTTGCCTGTACATAAAATCGATCAGTGAATTCAGATATCTGTTTGTACTATGCCCCACAATGGACATGGGATTTTTTATGCATCCATAATAAGATTGATAAATATAATATAAGAAAATAATGTAACATTAGTTAAATTTATTGCTACGGTCGTGTAAGATTAAAAAGTTATATTATGTGTATTTTTTAAGTGTGTGTGTATTTAATTGTTAGTAATTAAAAACTTACTGTTATAAAAAAAAACTTTCTGTACAAAATAATTTCCTAATATTTTATAATACCGGAAAAGATAATGATTTATATAAAAGACGGACCAAATTCAGATCTTCAATACTTTGGTCTAAATGTAAAAAACTCTCCTACAATGTATATGTATATATTTAATCTAATTCAATATATAATGTATATTTATTATAAAACACATAAAAAGTTTCTCTTGTACGCGTTACGAACCTAAACGCCGAATGATGCTCATAAATATATAATATAATGTTATTAAATGTATGTTGAAAATTCCAATGTTTATTTGTGAATCTCTTGAAAATATTTAATTAAGAAATTTAAGGTTTAAAGAGTAAACATATTTAAATCATTTATTAAAAAAAAAAACGCTTTTAAAACCAAAAAAAATTTTTTTTAAAAAATGTACCCCCCGCGAAAACTATAGACAGTATTTAATATTTAATTAAGTTTAAAAGAGTAACATAAGTTAGAAATAGAAACGATATTTTTAAAAGATACAAAAATGCCTTCTTATAAAACTTTGATTTCCTTTTTTGTACTTAATTAAATTAAAATCATAAAAATACTATTAATATCAGTAGATTGATCACCTCCTCGACTTGATATATAAACAAGTTGCTAAGTATTGCGTAAAATGCATGAAGCATGGGTTCGAACCTCTGAAAAGACAATAAATAATTTCGGTCGAACATGGTAAAAAACCAGAAATAAAATTTGAAACAATATTACTCATCATGTCATTGCATTTCGGGCTGTTCGGCCCAAGAGAAGCTAACAACATCCCGTGCTGCTGCCGTCTGCTCGTAGCGAAACGTCGAGCACCTCTTCTCGATCACGTCGACCGAACGGCCCGAAACACAATGATGGCCATCCTTAACCTAAATCATAAAGTAATTCAAATAAAATCTTGTATTTGTAATTTGTATATAACATATAATTCAGTCATATTGCATTCTAATCATCTCGACCTGTTTTAGCTTTGGAGAACGAAAACAGGGACGAACACTTTTTTGCATCTGTGGACGGTAGTTTGTAATCCGGACGGAATAAAGATATTCCTACTATCTATTTAATATCCAGACGAAGTCCAACATGTTATATAAAAAGTAAAAATCTATTAACAATATGTTGGACCTGGTACGGATCGAACACGCGACCCGTTGATGATTATACCTACGCGCCCATTACACGCCAGCCTGTCAAATTTTGGACCCGTTGGGAGTCAACCTCAGTTAATTTTTAGACGAACAAGTACGTTTTTCAGACGAA